AAATTGCTGCTTCTACAATAAAAAACTTCTAACAACGAAAAACCAATCCCAGAAAGAAAACAACAGAAGCAATTCAGAAATGGGTTAAGAAGGAGAAGGAGAAGAAGAAAGTGGCGGAGAGTGAAGATGAAGAAGATAATAAAAACAATGAAGATATAAATATTAGTAATAATAATATTATTGTTAATAATAGCACATCAGGAAATTAATTTAGCATAAACTTGCATAAATCTTATGATGCCGACATAATATTGTGTAAATCTTACAGTGCCGACATAAGTTTTACACTTTTTTATTATTAAACTTACAATTGACACGTGTAAAATTTTTTTATATTTTCCGGATGCAGTAGTAATAGTGAAAGTTGAATTTTTGTCAGAGTGCCCAAAGAATAGGTAATACTTACAAATGGCTTTGGGTCTGAGTATTTTCCTCCCATGCAAGTACTCTGACACAATTTTTTTAATTTATATTTCTATAAATTATTTATGTATTGTTCTCTTATTAGTTGAATTAAAATAAAAATAATTTTCTTTTGTTGTTTAAATTCATTGTCTATAAATTAATTCCAAGTCATGTGCTCATTAATTTATTATTGGTCGAAACTATTTATAGAAACAATTAATTGTAAACAATTACGATAAATAATACAAAAAAAAATTTTTTTTTTAAAAACTTTTAATTTCAAGAAAATGACAACGATCGAAAAAATTGAAAGAGAATTAAAGAAAGCAGAAGAGAGATTCGAGAAGGTGGAGGAGAAGTTGAAGCAGTGGGAAGAAGGAAAGTATAAGGGAGAGAAGTTGAACGAATTGGAAGATGAGTTATATAAGGGAGAATTCGGGAATGAAGAACAGAAGAAAAGGTGTGAAGAGAGGGTAAAGAAGTTAGAAGAAGAGAAGAAGGAGTTGGAGGAAGACAAGAAGGATAAGTGGGAGCAGGTGAAGGAGTGGGGGAAGGCATTGCGTGATTTCAGTGGAGGAAAAGGTAATGAACAAATTGCATAAAAAAATATACAAAAAATTATTTTTCATTCGTTCCATTTTGTTTATTTATTTATTTGAGAGATATCTGTTACAACTTTAACCAATTTGTACTTCTTTTTTCTGTCCATTGTTTTCTATTGCTGCTTCCTA